CTCCCCAAAACCCCAAAACCCCAAAACCCCGCATAAATGTTTTAAGATAGAATTAATAAAAAATAAAAATGAAGTCATTTATTCTTTTCTGAACCATCGTTCTTGTTACTTCTAATATATGCAAGAACGATGGTCAAGAAATAGGCTCGCCTCTCACAGGTAGTTTTGAACTAGCTGGAGCCTCGTCTCAATATCTTTTGAGTATACTACAAGACCAAGATCGAAGTTTACTCTATTTTGTTGGATATTACAACTGGGGGTCTGCTCCATATGATACGATCATCTACAAATCTGATTACAATCTCAGCAAGCTACAAGTAATGACTTATACGCTTCCCATTTTGGTTTATTCAATAATCATCGATTCTAAAGGAGACAATATTTATGTGATTGATGCTGCAATAGAGAAAATAGTTGAGATCAGAGCTACCGACCTTACCATCACCCGCCAGCTCACAATTATCTCATCCCTGCACAACTCATTCTCAAACCTAGCCGCCAAAGCCAGCTTATTCTTCAGCTTTTATCTCACTTCAGAGATGAATACTTGTAAGTGGGATATGGTGATGACTGATGTGGTGTGTTTTTAGCTTTGGGGTTTATGAGCATACTAACTTTGCTCCGATTAGTAATGAAGCGATCTTCTTTGCTTCAACTGATACTGCAAGTGATCAATACTACCTTGTGAGCTACAATTTCTCAGACCCTTCAAATCTGGTCTGGAAAAAGAGTATTCTGTGCCCAACTTCAGGCTGAGTACAGAGAGTCAGCAAATCTATTCTGAGCCAAAATGAAGAATTTATCTACACGATGATTGCTTATGACGAGCATTTCATATTTCACAAGCTAAATGTCAATGATGGGTCTCCCCATAATCCAGGATTTCTTTGGAATGACAGCGGGTTTACCTATAGTTACTCAATGCAGGAATTTAATGACTTCATTGCTGTCCAAATTGCTACTTCTTCGTTATTAAATTCTAAAAGATTGATTTTGATCAATATAGACAATACAAATGTCATCAAAGAGTATAAATCAATCAATTCAAAATCATATTCAATTGGAAAGATAATTTATGAAAATAGAGAGCTGATGTACCATTCTGGAAGATATCAAGGAAATCATACGTTTTTCTTTGCAAGATCATTGACAAATGATATCAATCAATTGCCAGAGTTCGAAGAAGATACTCCTCTTTTCTTCCCCATAACTTCAGACTATCAAGTGTCTGATACATCCTCAAATCCAAGTTTGACTTCTGATACCAAAACACTAATAATCTCAACATCTACAACAATCATCACAACAGATGTTACAGCAAGTGTAAATCCTTCATTCAAAACTTACGTAGCTTTGTGGAGCGAAATTCACGTTGAATCAGTCCAAAGCAACTCAACGGTAAAGATAGACTTTATTTGGGCCTGATCCCAGTCTGCCAGTTATACAGATATCACCTTTAGCTTGGCTCAAACTGGGTCCAACGAGATTCCTGAGTGGGTAGATATAGACATAGAGAAGCAAGAACTCTATTTGAACAAGACACCAAAACTCACAAACTCAAGCACTTACTATTTCTCGCTGCAGATTTCCTTTGACAGCGAAACCCATTACAAACAATTTGAAATCACTGTTGAGAAGTGAAGTATCACTAACTGAGAGATCTGCCAGCTCGGAAGCCCGGATTTGTGAGAGACTTGCAGGACTGGCTTTGAAACCTCAAATGATAAGACTTCTTGATCTAAAGTAGAAGCCATTTCTGGAGCAACCGAAGCTGCTGCTGCTCTGGGAGCAGCCAGTGTGATGATGGCTAGTGCTTCGTCTGTATTATCTCTGTCGTCAGTCAACTCCATATTCAGCGTCATGAACAGCCTCCAACTGGCTATTCAGCTCCCTCTGGTTCCTGATTATTTCTCTCCGAAAGTGCTGGCATTTCTGAGCGGGATGGGGTTCTCGATGATGTCATTTGATTTTCTGAAGTTCAAAGATATACCGTTCGTTATCGCAATCACCAAGTGGGTGTCGTATCCTCAGTCTGATGAGTACCTTAACAGTATCGGGATGAGGTCTGGCAGTTCTGTTGTAAACTATCTATCTTTGATGGTTTTTATTATTTTCTTAGGAGTTATCCATTTCGGTATCGTAATTTGTAGTAAGTGAGCAGATCAGAGTGATCACAGAAAATGTAAGAAATGGTTCAACAGACTGTTTTTATTCTTTACTTTCAACATATACATTCGTGTGTTTATCCAGGCATTTGCATTCACAACATTATCAATATTCTCTGAAATGTACGCAATGAACCTATCTACACTAGTGACTAAGGTATCTTTCGGGCTCTGCATCATATTTGCAATGTGAACAAGTGTACTATTCATTCTGTCATTCATCATGTACGCAAAATCGTTTCCTGAATTTGACTCTCAGAAGTACTGGCCATGAACCGAGTACTTCAATGGAGTCAAGCCAACTAAGTTCTCAAAACTGTATTCTAGTATGTTCATGCTTGTGAGATTGATGTTGATTTCACTCCTGGTTTTCGGAAGATCAGCTGGTCACACCACAAAGACAAAGTATTTCTACTTGATAAACATTGCGTACTGTTTATACTTGCTGGTTGTAAGACCATTAGAAAACCCTCAAGACAACATCATTGAGATTGTGAATCAGAGTCTATTTTGATGTCTAGCAGTTCCGCTTTCGTGGTTAAAAACAGAGGCTACATGGACTCCATTTTACGAAGGATACTACACATCCATTCTAGCTATATCTCCTTCAATATGAGCAATGATTTGACTTATCTTTTTACTAAAATCAATCTATATCTGCACTAAAAAGACCAAAAACACACAAAGCACAAACACTATACTCCCAAAGAAGCCCCAAGTAATACAAAAACTAACCCCACAACCCCAAGAAGAGTCCAAACAAGACCAAAGCCAGTCAATCTCAATAGCAAGATCTTCCTCAAACATCATCAAAACCACCCCTCCAATCTCCCACAACCACCCACACCCATCCCTAAATCTCCCCAAAAATCCACCCAAAACCCCTTTTCCTAAAAGAAGATTCTAGATCTTAATATTTCCTTTATCTCAATATAAGAATTCTACCTCGGGGTTTTGGGGTTTTGGGGTTTTGGGGTTTTGGGG